CAACTGCCTTTCCACTTCCACTGATGACGCGACCAGGTTGCCTTTTCGGGTGTTGGTTGTGATTCGGTTTTATATCACTGCTTGCAGCGTCTCTGCTCGATGAAACAAAACAAAATAATGCACATCAATCGTCTCTCCTGAGCCCTTTATTAAGCACTACTGTTAATTGATTCTTTTTCGGGTTCTTTTTTTTTTTTGCATTTGGACCGCCGGACAGCGATTGGACTTAATCACACACTTTCCTCTTCCATTCGCACACTCTCACAACACGAGGGCGGGAACAGTGCTCTCTCGCCGCTCTCTCGCTTACTTTTTTCGCCGCTCCGATGGCCGATTATTGGGTATTTAGCTCTCAATTCGGAATTGCAATTTAGATTGGGCGAAACGGTCCGCCACTACCGACTTTTTAAACTTATAATTTAGCTATACTGCTGTACAAAAACTCCCTCTTCACCACCTAGAGTTGAACAAAAATAGATTTGTGTGCGATACTATCGGCGTTGCGATACGGCGTACAAGACACCGAAAATAAATACTAAATTCTAGATTTAACAGCACTCAGTGGTGCGTTGCATTTTGCATTTTTAAGAATTAAACATTTTTACTTTAAGTTAGTCTGTGTGCCATTTTAAAGCAGATACAACAATATATGTGTGCAGGAAATAAATGTTTTTAATTGCACGCAATTTTGAGTGGTATCTCCCCCCCACAGAGTATAATGTAGTATATTTCAGTATGTTTGGGTATGAAACGGTCTGCCCGAAAAATAAAATTGTATTATTTAAAGACATTAAAATTAAGGAACCCACCAAACGAAAGGTGAGGACCGAAACGGACTACAGGCGGCGAAACTGGTACTGAACCAATGGGCTAGGATGTATGCGGTGGCGTTTGTCTTGCTGCTGCTGGTTGCATTTAATGCCGGCTCGAATTTGGGACGGGATGACGAACGCTTCCACGAGGAGCTAGTGGTTCGTCCATTGCCCGGCCACCATGTCAACACCTACTTCCAGTTCACCACGCGCTGGCACTATGGCGAAAAGGACAATCGTGAGTTTCCGGCGACTGCAGTTCGCATCATTTCAATTCCAGAGTCCATAACTTTACCACTTGTTATGAAAAGCAAAGAACACCCCAGTAGTTCCATTTAAATATTTCATTACAATGGTGCTTGAACAGATGACCGAAGACTACACTTCCCAGTGACCAAGAGATTGCACCATGTCCCATTCACGATATTGACAATAATCATCCATTCCAACTTCTGCTTGCCGTGAGCTTGAGTGTTTTTTATATAGTTTCCATTTGCTATTCCAGTTTACCACACCCAATTGACGCCCCGGGTGATTGCGGAGCTGTTGCAGCAGTTTGCGGTGAAGGAGCTGCACATTGGCCTGACCCAGGGATTGTGGCGCTACGAGACATGGGGCTATCCCATTGTGGAGGCCACCAGCGGTGCCGAGATGTGGGCGTGGTTCAGTGGCGCGAATTTGACCAACCGAGAAGTGGACCGTCAGTGGAAGGAGTTGGCCAACGTGTTCTCTGGCGTTTTGTGCGCCTCGCTGAATTTCGTGGACAATACGAATAGCATTGCACCGAGGCACTTGATCCGTCCACAATTCATGCCAGCCAATGGCCAGAGATTCGTTCGCTACGCCACACTGCCGCGTGAGATTGTGTGCACGGAGAATCTGACGCCGTGGAAGAAACTACTGCCATGCGGCAGTGCCTCAGGCTTCGCCTCGCTTCTCAACTCGGGACACGTGCACAACACCAAGTACCATTCACTGGGCCTGAAGGTGCGTGTGCTGTGCGAGGATCACGATGAGGACAACTGCATTGTGGAGCTGACCCAAACGGCCAACTTGGTATACGATCTCCGGCTGTTCGAGCTGAGCAATAATGATTTCTCGCTGCGCCGTCTATTCGGCATGGGACTGAATGGCTTCTGTGAGCTGGCCGAGAGCTCCAAGATCTATGTGCAGCGCAACGAGCAGGGCGAGCACTACCAATTGGTTCCGGAACCCGTGCACCAGGTGAAGAGCACTCGTGGTGGGCATAGTGTTGTCTACTCTGTCTACGATATGCACGAGCAGTTCAAGGAGCCCGGCGAACGGCTGTTTAATGTGGCCTGGCTCGCGCCAAAGACCGAGAATCGCAGGCGTAATCTGGCAAAGCCATCGCTGCCGCCGGTGACGGTTCATCGTTATCTATTGGGGCATGGCCAGGAGCGCGGCAGGATCGTTACGGAGGTGACCAACTCGCATTACGATGCATTGCCCATCATGCTGCAGGAGGTGATACCGTGGTACGTGCACGCCTATCTGCACACCCTTTCCATTCGCCGCAAGCCGCAGCGGGTTAACGAATACGGACGCCAGCGACTGCCCTTCAAGCTGCTCCACTATACGCCCGGCAAGCAGAGGGAACTGCCCTCCCACCTGGAAATCGGCTTCATGCTGCCCGGCCAAACATCGGCGCTGATAACAATCGATGTGGATTACCTGTTGCTCAAATGGCTTGAATATCCGCCGGATGCGAATCACGGCCACTATATCGGCTCCGCCATTGTGTCCAGCCAACTGCCGATGGGCAGAAACTATACCGCTCTGCCGCCGGAGGGGCATCTCTTCGAGCATTCGTTCAATGCCACCCGGCCGACTTATGTGCTCAGTTTGCATACGGAAGCGCTGATCGTCTCGCTGCCCACGCCGGACTTCAGCATGCCGTACAATGTGATCTGTCTGGCCTGCACGGTGGTGGCCCTCGCCTTCGGACCCATCCACAGTGTGGCCACCAAGATGATCATTGTGGGCCGTCAGGCGTCGGCGCCCAAGAACTTTGTGAAGATCTTCAACAAGATATTCCGGCGCGGCACGGCCGCCGATGAATCAGCTGCCGAGGGCGACAGATTGGCAGCAGCAGGAGCAGCGGCATTGGGTGTAGCTGGAATTGCATCATCGAGAGCATCGGTATCGGGCGACCAGCCGCTGCTGGAAGATCTCGACGAGGAAGAGGAGGAGCAGGACTAGGAGATGACACTCAAACAGCCACCGGGAGTCGTGATAAGCTCCCACTGATAGTATACCCTTACAATTCCAATAAAGTAATATCACAAAACACATTCCTTGCTTCGGTGGGGATTTAAAATTACCCAAGGGGATAAAACGGGTGGCAATTCTCGTTTTAAATGGCCATTGAATATATTTAAGTGTATTTAAAAACAGTATTTCCTTTTATTAAGACTGTTTCTATTCAAACTCGCAGCCTATTTTTAAGGCTAAAGAAATCGGAATATAAGAGAGTTGCAAAATATAGTTTTTAACTGAGAAAGGAATTTGTATCCAAATAAAGCAAGTGAAAATGCACGGTTTGTTTTTATAACTTTTTCGATTTCGATTTCGTTTTTATTTTGCATTTCGAAAATAGAAATTTCTAAATGCTATTTGATAAACATGTATCAAAATGTCTCGATGTGGATCCTGAAGTAATCGGTATATGGAATCAGATTATATCAAATCGGATTAGAGCAGCGCAGAAATAGCCAGACTCTTAATTAGGGCGAGAAAGATTCCATGCGTCTAGTGGAACATTTGGAAATACGTATCGATTTCAATGTTACCTTGCTGGAGTTGCGAAAATGTTTTCCAAATTTTCAGCTCTTAGGTTTCGATTTTAACTAATCTTAAGTAATTTGTTTATTTAATAAATAATTTAGATATCAATTTGGAACTCTAAAGTGCAAGCAAATAATGGTAATAATCGGTAACAGTACTTACAAATAGTATTTCAGTTTACATTTCAATTGCAGTTAAAAATTAATTTTTCTTTAGGATTATTGGCATTTATATGTATCTGCGTTTGTATGGAGAGTGTTCACTGTACACCGCTCGTTCAATGCTCAAATGTCCAATGAATTCGCTTCATTTCAATGTTCTCGCTTTTTGTTGAACTTTAAATGTAAGATTTTTGCATGATTTCCGCTTGCTACTTATATTTTTTACTTTTACTTTAAATAGTAAATTTAAGCTTATTGTATGTATATATAAATTGGATTTTTCAAATTACAATCTTTCTTTGCAAAACTCTATTGGAAGAAATCGGGGAAACGGGTACCAAGGATAATTAAATGTAAAATTGCTACACAAAACTGTACGAACTCTAAAAACAGACATCTACAAAAACGCACACAAAAATACAAAAAAAATAAAAAAATAGTTTAAATATATAGCGGATTAATTATGTTAAAAACACGCACTATTCTGCTGCTCCGTCGTCCTCCTCCTTACACTTAAGTATATTTATATATGCATATGTATAAATCGTTTAGAATGATCGTTTTTAAAGAGGAGCGGAACCTACTTAAGAGAGAATTAATATATATATAATAGGATGGGTCGATTGCTATGGATTGGAAATTCCCAGAAAGGCGGCGTAATCTATAAAACCATCATAAATGTAATGGCAACAAGGGTAATTCTTGGAAAACCCATCAAGTATTTGTAGTTATAGGACCAATATCGCTTATAATTGCCTACAGACTACACAGCCCATTGCGAATCCAAGTGACGGATCGCAGCACTAAGCTAAAAGTACTAGCTTAAAGAACTGACACTTTCGTCACTCAACCAGGAATTTGTGTGTTCGTGAGCATCCCGAGTAATCGATCCATCAATTTTGTCTGGTGTTTTGGGCCTAGGACACGGTTTCTTGTTCGCTTGCGCATTTTCATCAGCTTACTTAGTTCTAGATCGCTACTTCCCTTAATGGACTACACTTCGTGTTTTCTCTTGTTCTAGATATACGGTCTCGGTTGTGCTACTTCTGCCACGAGCCACTTATCCGTCTGCTATGTATCACCGAAACTAATAAACTCTCCTTGCTTCCCTTTAGATAAGTCGCCAGCTCAATCGAAATGCGAGGAATTCGCTGCTTGCATGTGGGAACCCTGAATGTGCATCTCGATTTAACATCAAATCTTAGTTCGTCGTTATTTTTGCCTACTTTAAGTCTTATGCTTACTCGTCTTTCTCCTATCTGTAATCCTACTTATACTTCATTTTCTGCGGCTGCCACTCTTAGCTCTAATCGTAGTCCTCCTCCTGCTCCACACCCACTGATACAAATCTTAATCATATGCCTAGTGTTACGCAATCTGCATCGTCGTCTGCTCCTTGTCGTCGCCATCCAGTTATGCTATTACTCGCGCTGCACCACCTCCTCCAACTGGCCTCCTGCAATCCTCTCCGGATTTCCTTGGTGTTCGGCCTGTGAATCCTCTCCAGCTTCAACCAGCGAATCCCAGACGAGAATTACTTGTTGTGGAGACAGCCAGGTGGCAGCGGCGGTAATAGGCTGTCCCTTCCTCATTGGGGCGGCTGTTGGCTGTAATATCCGTATGCGCCGGTGGGTGGTGGCCCCTGGGGGGCTCCTGGCGGCGGCATCTGTGCCCCGGCGGGCCGATAGCCCTGATAGCCCTGCGTGGGCGGGTATTGTGCATAGCCGCCGGCCTGAGGTGGCTGATGGTATGCGTGGCCGGGATACGCGCTCCCCGGTGGCGGTGGTCCGTAGGCCTGCGGTGGAGGCGGTCCTCCGTACGGACCTTGTGGTGCGCCCGGCGCCGGCTGGTATTGATTCGGCGGCATCGGCGGTGTGGCTCCATTCGGAGGCGGTTGCTGATTGCCTTGTCCCTGGGCATTTGGTGCTCCGCCACCGCCAGCGGATCCGCCAGCCGATGGTGGTGTCTGTTGCTGCTGCTGTTGTTGCTGCTGTTGCGGCGGCGGCGGGGCGCCAGGCTGCTGATTATAATTGCCCGGCGTGGAGTATGTGGGCTGGACTTGCGTGGACAGCGGCGCCACACCGGAAACCACCACGCCCGGTGGCTGTTGTTGTTGCTGCTGTTGCTGCGGCGGTCCCGCATACTGCTGACCAGCTCCGCCAGGTCCGCTGGGCCCCGCTCCACCACCAGCTCCTCCCTGCGGCGGCGGCGTCGATTGCTGTGCGTTGGGTCCGTTTGGATTGGTGTTGCCACCGCCTGCTCCGCCGCCACCCTGTGGCGGTGGCGTCTGACTGGGCGCCGTGGTGCTGTAGGCTCCGCCCGGCGGTGGTGGTGGCGCTGCCCCACTAGTCGGTGGTCCACCCGGGTAGCTACTGCCCGGTGGTGCACCCGCTCCGCCACCAGCGGCTGCTTGCTGCTGCTGTTGATACGCCTGATAGGGACTCTGAGCGCTGCTTGTGGGTGGTGGCGGCGGCCAGTAGCCACTGGGCGGTGGCCCTCCTCCCGCTCCCGCCTGGCCATACTGTCCGGGATTTGGCGGATAGCCCGCATAGCCCATTGGAGGCGGTCCTCCAGCAGAGTTCTGCGGCGGCGGCGGACCGTATTGACTCTGCGGCGGTCCAGGTGGCGGCTGTTGGCCACCGGTCGGCGGTTGTCCGGGTGGTGGTGGTCCCGGCGGCGGCTGCTGTTGCCCTGGCACCGGTGGAACCTGCTGGCTGCCGGGCGGCGGTGGATATGCACCCGGCGGTGGTCCTTGACCGGCTCCGGCATTTGGCTGATAGCCGTGCCCACTGGCTCCCGTCGCCGCACCAGCTGGACCATGATGGTAGCCACCTTGAGCGGCATTCGGTGGACCCGGTGGCGGTGGACCGTAGCCCTGGGTTGGCGGTCCGTAGGGATAGGCGCCCTGCGGCTGGTACTGCGTCTGCGGCTGTGGAGGATAGCCCGGATAGTGGCTGTGCTGCTGCTGTTGCTGCTGGTAGCTGACGCGGTACGGACTCTGCGGCGGCGGCACACCGGGTCCGCCGGCTCCTGGCTGTGGTCCTGGTCCGCCGGGACCGCCCTGCTGCTGCTGGTTGGGCGGCTGTTGGCCGCCTGGTTGCGGCTGCTGCTGCTGGGGATTCTGGGGTCCGGACAGGGGTCCGTTGTTGGGACGCTGTTGATCTGCAAGGCAAAAGATGATTGAAAGCTGAGTAAAATCACGTTTCGGGTGCACAATATGTTGTACTCAAAATAAACTATAGATGCATTAGGATTTCGAATTATATTCAGAAAATAAACACAGAAAATATCACAGGAGTTCGTCAAAATTAAGAGCATCCAGGTCGAATTCATTCAAAAAATTTTCCATCCACGACTGCTCATCTTCAAATTCTTGACCGGCATTGACGTTACACTTACTGGGCGCGGCATTTGGATTGATCACAGACTGACCCGGCCCCTGGCCCTGACCAGGTCCCTGGCCAGCTCCCGGCTGTCCCTGACCCTGGGCGTTGCGGTAGACGGGATGCTGCTGCTGCTGCTGCGACTGCGGACCCGCTTGGCTGACCTGCGGTCCCTGCTGTTGGCCGGCTGCTACGGCTGCTGCCGCTGCTGCTGCCGCCGCCGCTGCTGCCTGCTGTTGTTGTTGTTGCTGCTGCTGTTGCTGCTGCTGAGATTGCTGTTGGGCGCCCGGCGGCAGGCCAGGATGCGGCTGCGGCTGCTGTTGCTGCTGGGCGCCGTAGGGCGGCATCTGAACGGGCGGTCCCTGGGGATCGCCGCCGTGCTGCTGCATGCCCATCTGCGGCGGACCCTGGCCCGGTTGTCCCGGCACCGGACCCTGGCCGGGCTGCTGCTGCTGCTGCGGCGGACCGCCCAGCATGCCGTGCGGTCCAGTTGGCGGCGTCTGCTGGCCGCCCTGCTGCATCGCCTGCGTTTGGAGGATGTGCGGCGGCTGGGAATGGATTGAATACATTATTGGGGAACAGAAATGATGTTGTCTTTGCATGGATTTCACGGAGCAGTGATCACGGAATAGCATATCCTATCGTATTCGCATTTATTCATTTTGTTTACCCACCGGCAGTATCTGTGAGATGTTCATGGCGGGATCGGCCAACTGGGCGAGGTAGACCAGATTGCGATGCAGCGCGACGTGGTAGGACATGCACTCCTGCGCCTTGCCCATGCTCTGGAAGTCCTGAATTGTCTGGATGAGGCCGCAGTTCTCGTCGAGCATCTTTTGTATTTGAGCCGAGTTGACTTGCTGCGTCACACCGCCGCCGCCGCCGCCTTGCATATTGGCGCCACCGCGTGGAGTGGACGGCGGTGTGACCATCATTCCGCCACCGGGCATTCCACCGCCGCCGCCAACAACTCCACCACCACCGCCGCCGCCAGAGATGATGCTGCCCGGCGATCCTGGCACGCCCATGGGCGGCCGTTGCTGCTGCTGCTGCATGCCCATGGGCAGGATGCCACCGCCGCCTGGTCCACCACCGCCTCCTCCGCCGGGACCTACTCCGGATCCAGGCGGCTGTTGATTGGGCGCGGAGTTTGGTGGCGGTTGCTGCAGTTGTTGTTGCTGCTGTTGCTGCTGCTGTTGTTGTTGTTGTGGCGGGGGAGGCTGCTGCTGCAGTTGCTGCTGCTGTTGCGGCTGCTGCTGCGGCGGTTGCGGCGAATAAACTGCAGACATTTTACTGGCTGCAGTCTTCTTCTTCCGCTTGGGGGTTTTCTCCTGTTTTTCCACAATTTTAGCGGTTATATTCGACCGTTGGGGAAAGGAAAGGAAAATTTTCGCAGTGTGCGGCGTTTTCTTCACATACACACACACACACACACACGCACACAACAGCGAGCGCTGGCACACACACACTTAAAGACACGCAAACACACGCACACGTACACGGGCAAAGAAGTGGCTATCTTTTTACCCTTTTGAGTGTTTTTCGGCGAACGGAAAAACGCCGGCTATGCGATAAATGCACTGGTAATTCGGCTAGCTATTGTTCGCGTACGGTGGCCCTCACACGTTGGCACTGGATAACGACATATTTTTCCTCAATTTTCCGACACTTTTTCGCAATTTGCATGGAACGGAACGACGCTTAAAACGATTGCACAGGCGGCACGGACCGATTAATCGGTCGAATGCACGATCAAACCGGGCTGGACGGCGCCTGACGTACGCCGCTGTTAGTTAACAGCCGGGCCGCAACAGACTCTGTTAGGTTTGAATTGAAATTTAAAGTGGCTGTTACTCGTTACATTTTGCACGTGTATTTATACGTCTGGCAAATCAATGTAGGAAAATGTCTCAGCGCATGTTACAACATCTCTCATTAGCATGGATTATTTATTTTGTTATGTTAATAGCAAATGGTGTGCATGACCGTTGTGACTGAACGTGCTAGGCCCCCTCAACATGGCGTTCGATAGATTTTTTTTTATGGTGTTTTAAGGGTGCGTTTTGCAGCACTGACTAAAATAGCTACCGGTTTTTTTTTTTTGATTATTATTCAATTTATTATTAAAGTTTTGATGCGAAATAAAAATGCAACACAACTTCTCAATTGCTCACGAATGTCCTGCTTGTTTTTACTTTATTTACTTATTATTATTTTAGCTATGCTGCCGCCAAATTTTTGGCTATTTGACTATTTTGTGAGCCAATTTTTGTTGTTATTTCTGTTTTGGTTGCACAGCATTTTACAAAATGAGTAAGCTTTAAGCTATAAGCTATTGATATTAATGCATTTTTAAAAATACATTTACTTTTAGCTACCAAACTTAGCTAGTGTTTTACGTTAGCAGCACTGGCTAAACCGGTTGAACAGGGTGATTAGTGCAATATAGAGGTAAACAAAATGATTTGTTGATTTGACTTGCAAAATGTAATATAATAGGAAAATGTAAGTGCATATGAACGACAATCTATTGTAAGAATACATTAAATGCCTGCATTTTAGGACAAAGTCAATATGCCGAACTTGCTTGGAAAGTTCGAAAGTCATGGTCAATATATTTGATGATCCCCAATACTTGGGATGTAATATTGCGGATATGGTATCGCAGTGCATACACTTTCCCCTTTCTAGAGGCGATTTCCTACCCGAAACCATTTGTCTGTCCTGCCTAAAGGATGCTAAAAGTGCCTTTGACATAATCACGAAATTCCGAACGAGTCACCAGTTTCTCAATGAGTCTGTATGCAAGGTTTCGCTGGATGACAAGGAAACGAGCGACCAACAGTTTCGTTGCCAAGTTAAGAAGGAAGAAACCGTAGAGGACTTGTCGCAAGTAGGGCCTACCAATGAACACCGATTCCAAGTCAAGATGGAGAAGTTTGAAACTACTTTGCCCCACGAAGAGCCCTTCAAAGATGATCCATTCCAAACCAACAACGGTTTCCCAACGGAAAGAGATCCCAAAGGCGAGCAATTCACATGCGAATATATAAAAGACCCCAGAGCAAATTCTGCAAAAGAAGAGGCTTCATTACATCTCCCAGAGGAAGAGTCTGCCGAGGATGAGAGATTCCAATGCCACGTCAAGAATGAGCCCATTGACGAAGATCTCTCAGAGGAAGAAGACTACTGCGAACTCGATCCGGTCGATCAGCACATAAAGACTGAGGACATAGAAGAGAATGTCCTGGAAGGTAGTCCTCGAGTCGATGAGATGCACGATAACAACAGTGTGGAACCAGACCGCAAGCATCAATGCCCACATTGCCCAAAGAGTTATCATCGCTCGTTCGCGCTAAAGGAACACCTCATAGTGCACACGAAGGAGAGGCCATTCGAGTGCTCCCGCTGCCCGAAGAGATTCAAATCGGCCAGATACCTGAAGGAGCACCAGACCATTCACACCGGCGAACGGCCATTCAAGTGCACGCATTGCTCGAACGCGTACCGAAAGAAGACATGCCTTCAGCGGCATATCCAAACCTACACGGGAGTACGACCCTTCAAGTGCACCCACTGCCCCAAGACGTTTGCCACCGACTACGATTTTCAGTCGCACATACGGAATTATTCGGGCGAGAAGCCCTACAAGTGCAACGCCTGCTCCAAATCCTTTGCCACCCAATCCGTGCTCAATGTGCATGCCCGCATACATACTGGCGATAAGCCCTACAAGTGCAACGAGTGCTCGCGCGCCTTCCTATGGAACTCCAGTCTCCAGGGTCACATGCTACGGCTCCATTCCAAGGAGCACCCCTTCAAGTGCCCCATTTGCACCGCATCCTTTTTGGCGGAGAACTCCCTGAATCGGCATATGCGGATGCACAGGAAGCAGCAGATCTTGTGATCGGTCTTCGTTGACAAAGGGACAGGCGGATTTGTTGTTATTAATGCCAAATGTTATTATATTGCAGTTTAATATTTATGGCAATTCAAATAACAAGGATATAGCTATTATATTTACGATGTAAAGATCTTTTTGATAGTATTGTATTTTATTATTGTATAATACTGCACTTTGCTGCAGAAAAATGGTTTGAGTTATGTAAATATTGTGTGTAAGTTGACCTGTGTTCGAATATTACTGTCTTTTTTCTGTGAAAAAAGAACTTATATGTGTATCTTTTAGTTAACTAGTAAAGTTGTATGTGAATTTGAATTTAAACTCTGGTTTTCGAGTGATTACTGACAGAATCTGGCCTGAAATCGCAGTACGTACTACACCACATGCCCAATTGTTTATCGAGTTAATTAAAGCGAATCCAAGGCTTCAAGCTGCCTAATGCGAATTTGAAGTAGGCCAACATATGTTGTCGTGTCTTGTCTGCACTAAATAAAATGCAACTTTTCGCCGGATTATGCGCATGTGAGTAGAACACGAAATGACATTTTTCTGCTATTTCGCTGTGGCAACTGTGTCTGCGTGTGCATAAGTGTATCAGTTTGGGTCCGTGCACTGCGCGAAATCCATGCCAGTTTGTGTATGCGCAAAATTAGGCTACATTTCTACGGACAGAGGCTGGAAATTGCGAATGGGCTTGGGTTTTAAGGCACGGAAATTGTTTCATTGATGGTCTCCGCTTTAAGGACACCAGTTTCGTTTGCAGTGCATGTGTTTGCCTGCAGCTTTTCACTTTATTCATGCATAAACTTGCCTGAGAAAGTTTTCGCGTGGCAAAAAGTTGCCACGGTATTTGCTTGGCTGGTGGAAAACCCAACCGAAAACCCCAACCCACCGCCCCCCGAAAAGTGCGCTCCTTTTGGACACATGCAAATAACATATCGATGCAGCTTTTTCAAATAAACCGCCCTCCATGCGCTGCCACGCCCCTTTTTGTGGCTTCCGCCTGTCGCCTGTTGTCCCAGAGGGGATTTAGTGGCATTGCCGGAACGTGCTGCTGCACATGCATCAATTTGGGCGCCACCGCAGCCTCCGATTTCCCAGGCCCCTCCCCCCTCCCCCCAAAACCCAAGCCCCTTAACCCTTATAGAGCCCCCACCCTCGCCTTTAACCCCATAAGCAGCGGAACCAGCACATAGCCACATTAACCCATTGCCCGCCCACTTCATACTTAACCTTCTACTTTTTTATTAGCTGCTTTGTGCTTATGCCTAAATTTATACCTAATTTATGTTTTTTAGATTGTTTTATTAGAGTGGTGTTAATATGCACAACATCTTAAACGCTACGAAATTGGTGTTAAAGTATAAATAAAAGCTGCGCCAAATTAATATTGCGCGGGCTTGATGAATTATAAGTTGATTTCTGTTGATTAAAAAGCCGCAAAATTTAATTTTATACCATTAATCATTGGCCCTTTCACCTCCCCTCCCCTGCAGCGTAATTTATATAAATTTGTTTTGCATTTCAGCCTGCAGATAATTGCAAAATGCCGTTCAGCATGGGAATTTCATACATATACATATTTTCTTCAACTTATTTATTAGGCTTTATATTTCATTTGTTTGTTTTTTGTTTTTTTTTTTTGATTTTGAGATAAGCTTTATTTATTTCTGACTAAAATTTGTGTTAATTCCAAACGTAATCGAATTTTTTGTTGCTGTTTGCTAGTGTTATTTTTACAAAACGAAATAAATTCGTTTCAAAATGAAATCCATGTTACGGTAACAAATGGAGTTTTTCGTTCAGAAAATAAAACCATACGCTATTTACCTTACGTTTAAAGTTCGCCAACATTATTTATTTATTTTAATTTTGATGCATTTAGGTGCGCCTCCCCATGGCTTTGATTACGTAAATTGCGTATACGCAGTGTGTGCGTGTGTGTGTGTTTGTGTGTGTGTGTGCCAAAGGGCAGGTGGTGCTTTGTGGCCTCCCTCAGGTGTAACATGTGTGCCAAGGTGCAGAAAAAAGTGAGAGAAAAAAGAAGCCGGGAAAATATTATAGAAATGGGCTAAAAAAGAGAACCAACCGACTCAAGGCCAAAACACTTGACTAGAACGAGGTGGCGCCACAGACAGTCAGACATGAATGGGCGTCGTTTGGGGCTGAGGGGGCGTGGCAGGTGTGCGTGTGAACCACCGAGAGGTGCAAAGTAGTTGCCACTTAAAAGGCGTAAAAAAGAAAAAAAAAAAAAAAAAAACAACTTCAAACAAACAGCAGCCAAAAAGCTTTGAAGGGTTTTCCCTCTCACTTCTCATATTTTACCCTGCAGCTGTTACCGCTTTTCTTCCTCTTCTTCATCATCTAAGGGGCGTGGAGCGTGGGGCGTGGGCGTGGCAGGGGTTAGACATGAGCTGGGGTTTGTTGCTTTGGGCCATTGACAGTAAATCCGTTCACATCGACTTGCCAGAAATGCCAGTATGCAAAAATGCAAAGTCGTATCTAAAAATCGACGCTAAAAATTCCACATTTTTTTAACGTGTCATGTGCAAATAGCTAATAAACTACGCAAATTCGAAATTTGTCAATTAATTAATCTTAATCGGGTGTTAATTATCTTAATCGAATTTGAAGTGGCATACCGCTAATTGTTTCTAACGCAATTCTCTAAAAATCTGCATTCAAATATAGAAATTTTTTTTTTAATTTTTTTGATGTTATGATGTTGAAGAAATTCGAAAAAATTAGGAAATACCACAAGGCTGAAGTTCTAAACTCCATAACTCAACTTATCTTAATCAACTAATCTTAATTTGAAGTGGCATACCTCTAAATGTTTCTAACGCAATTCTTAAAAATCTGCATTCAAATTTTGAAAATTTTTTTGATTGAATTTTTTTTGTAAATATACCCGTTACTCGTAGAGTAAAAGGGTAGACTAGATTCGTTGAAAAGTATGTAACAGGCAGAAGAAAACGTTTCCGACCATTAAAGCATATATATTCTTGATCTGGCCATCTCCGTATGAATGCCTCGATCTCAGGAACTACAAAAGCTAGAATGTTGAGATGAAGCATGTAGCTTCCAGAATTACGATTAGAAAACTGATTTCTTGGACCGAAAAAAACTGAAAAAATACCTGTGTTAAAAAAGTTGATGTCTGTGGAGTATCTAGGTATCTGAAGTAAGTATCTACGTCTTTTTGGCGCGGCTAATTCAATTGGGTGCATTTGTAAGAGGTAACAACATATTCGATGCCATTTCAGTTGGCTTCCACTTTGCATTTGGTAGCGCCTACCTGTTGTGTGGCTGGCATTGATTTAAAAGATTTTTAATATTTAAGTGGCTCTGGTTGATTCGCTGGCTGGTATTTATTATTAAAGAATGCAGCGAAGCGCTTAATGTTGCTGCATTCATATTTAATTATTTTGTAATTTTGCTGTTCGTGCTGGCAACGCAATGCTAAATATATTTTGTTTCGGTTGCACTTTTAATGCCTTTGAACTAAATTGCACTCCCTTTCTCTCGGCCTTTCTCGTTCTCTTTCACTTTCTCCGCGTCCGTGTGTGTGCATGTGTGTGTGTGTGTGTGTCTGCCACCATTGCCACCCAAGTCATCATCCCCTTCGCCATCATCATCATCGCCGTCGTCGCGGGCGCCTGGCAACCCTGACCTGAATTTAACTCTAAAATTTGTGTGAGCTTCTGGTATTTCAGTTTCCCACATTTGTTCGCCTTTATTTCTGTGCAGCAAATCAGTGAGCGCGCGTGTGAGTGTTAATTTAATATTTGTTTGTGCAAGGAACACACAAAAAAAAGGAAACGATGAGAATAAAATCCCGAGCGAAAAAGAGTTAATCTACATTTTTCAAGTTAGTTGCACTTTGCAAGCATGGAAAGGTGCAAAGCATGCAGAAGGAATTTAATTAAAAACAAAACAAAAAATGCAACAATATATTGTAGTAATGCGTTTTGTTGAACGTTTCTCAACGGATACAATTTACTAATAAAGCCGCCGTTAACTTTGAAAGCCAATCTCCACAATCTCATATATACTATGCAAACATCAAACCAAAACATCTCAAAGGTGTGCACACATATGCGAAATTTTAATTTTGAGCAAAACGCACAAAACCTATGTGGCATTCTGATTGAAAACACCCAATAACATCGGAAGCAAAGGCACACGTTGTGCCCACTCATTTAAATGGACCACCGATGAGGAGCTGCCGAGTGCAAGTGCTAAGGAATCCCCAAGCGGCACAGTTGATGCAGCAGTTCATTAATAAGTGGCCAAGCGGTGTCATAAGCAGTTCATTAATTAGGGACATGAACGCCCCGGAAGCAAGCAGTCCGGCATCCATTTTTGCCAGGACTCACCAGAACTCCACTATTGCATTTGCCTGGTGGAATCTGTCACGAAAACTCGCCCACATGGCGGTGAAGGAGCTTAAACACAGCTCGGATGGCCAGCTCCTGGCATTTATGCTTAGTGCCGACGCCCACCCATCCTCAGCCATCCCCAACCATCCCCATCCTTGTGGTTTTCCATGAGTTTTCCAGTTTCCGTTGGCAGAGGCTGCTCCACAGTTCCATAGTACCATTCCCTTGTCAGGTATTTCAGCTTGTTGTTTGCTGCAGTTATGTGTTTAACTGCCACACACAGGACACACACACACACCCCCCCGCCCCCGCCTATCCCTCGGCTGGTGGAGAAGGGCCATGTCAACTGGCATACGAAACCAATTTCCTTTTTATGGCAAATGAAATGAAAATTTGAAATGACCACAAAACCGAAGGGAGCAGAAGACTCTAGGAGATGCAGGCGGAAGAAGGGAAGATAGTTCACTCGGAAAAAATGAAATTCCATTCAAATAATCGTTCGATTTTTCCGAATTGTGCAAACTTATGCTGCAATCAAGGAACATGGCCAATAAATAGTTCAGCGCAATAAGGTTTGGCCTCAAGTCTACTAAGTATATAGAGCTGCATGGCAAAGTACAATTGAGTTAATAAGCGGCTTAATTGCAGTGTAGAGTGGGTGCAAAGGGAATTCCCCAGAAGGTGAAAGCATATCTGGACAGGAAATGGGCACTCGGATATGATGCGACATTGTGCTGGAATGCCACTCGCTCGTCTAACTGCTCACTGAAAAAACAGATATCCTTGGGGATCCAGCGATGAGCACCGACACATTAACGGATGAAATGTGGCCGAAACAACTGAATTAGCCATGCACCGACAGCTCAAGGAATTCCAGGACCCAGCATCCTGGATCCAGGATTCGGGCAACTCCTGCTCCATCTGCGTTTTCCGGCCAAGTGGTTATGGCCATGTACATACATATGTACAACATCTGCTGCCGCTCTTCCAAGTCCCGAAGTCCCGAAGTCCCGAGGACCCGAGACCCCACCTATCCACCTATTTTTTGGGGTCAACCGAGCAATCTACCCGCAGCGGCTTTGCGGTGGATTTATTTTATTGCCAGAAATGAGACACCAACAAGAAAAGGCATCGGAAATGAGCTGAGTTCGAATAAACGACGCTGTTTTCACACTCATAAAATGAAATTAAATCCAATAAAATGTAAACGCATGGCTTATGTGTAACAAGTTGGTCTTTAAATGTAATGTAATACACATATATACATATGTATAAAGGTGGTGATATCTAATATAAATAAAGCGCTATTAAACACAAAAAAATGAAACAAATTAAACAGATAATTAGCTGCATTGTAAGCAATTACCTTAATGTATTAGTTAAGCACTGCTCTTCTTAATTGATTTTTTTCATTTAATACTAACATTTTAAAGGGTACAAAACGCACCCAAAGCCTCGCCAATTGGTGTAGGTTGCGGTTGTCCCAGCCAAGTTGCCTTTTTGTGTGTGGTTTTCGCCTTAATCCTTTCGCCTCCTAACTGTCTAACTGCCTAACTGCCTAACTAACCCAACCAATCGAGCTCCTTGTCTCGTTTCGTCCTTTTTGGCCGTCTTGTGCTCCTGGAAAGCGGTGCGCAGCCCATAAAACGCCATACATATGCGCATTTCATTTGATTTGATTTAATTTTATTGCCTTTTATGTACATTGCTGCTTCGCTGCTCTTTGTTGCCAAAAAGGAGGAAAGGAAGAAGACAATTACAAAAAAAAAAAAAATACAGACAAAAACAAAGGGAGAGCGAATGGTATGTGGCACTTTGTGTTTGAATTAATTATACACTATTCTCGCAGAGGGAAGGGTATAATAGATTCGTTGATAAGTATGTATGATAGGTGGAGCTACTAACTTCGCAGCAGGCGAGTGTTGGGTATCTGGTAGTCGTGGTACTCGAGGTACTCGACTACAGCATTCTCCCTCCTTTAATTTGATTTCTATTTATTTATGCCAATGGAAATTGGTTTTTGTTTTGAGTCAAGCCAGTCAGGCGAGCCAATTTACAAAAGTCCAAGGCAAAATGTAGTAGAAATGCGTACGTTTTATGTGCAATTTAAAGGTATTTTTCATTGTACATTTCTTTTCAAACTATTTTGTTGGAATATGAATTGATTAAAGTTTAGTTTCTAGGAAGCCCAAGATGAGTTTTGTTTACGCTAATGTGATTCACGCTGCTTTTCTTTGTACTTCTCTTTTCGGTTTTTGCATACCCTTTGTACAACTGTCAATCTATTTTAGCCAAGTCAGTCAGCCAGTTAGCCTGGTTCAAAGGTTGAACTGCTTTTGTCCCGGCCACTGAGCCTATTTGTCTGCCACTGCCTTTTGGGGTTTTTTCTTATTTATTTCTCGGTTTCGGTTTCGGTTTCTCCAGATGCTTCGAGTAGTGGCGTTGAGTCCGTTTATAGGGCCAGTCATGTGGCACGCATCATCATTTATCAAACAACGCGGCAACAATTCGCAGGGCTGACAACAAGCCAAAAAACATCCTCCAATCTTTCGTAACGAAACACACACAACTTGTCCCACTCACAAAAGTCGTCGCCGTTTTCTTGTCGCTACTATTCTCACCCACTTCGTATACAGTTTTGTATATTTCGTTTTCTGGCTATTCGCTCTTCTGCGTTTCGTCTCGTCTCGTCTCGTTTCGTTTCGTTTCGATGCTTCATTGTTGTTGTCGACGCTTATCTGCCGTTTGACATTGATGTGTCTGAGCACAGTGGTCAATAGCGAGAAGTATTTGTTTTCTATCAATATGTTAATTGAATTAAGTAGTAATGCAGTTAACGTTTGACTGCATAATATACCACAATGCGTATGACAACGCTGATGAATAAAATAAGACAAGTATAAATAGTTCGCATTTCCCCCATTATTTTGAGTATTTAATTTTTGTTCGCCCGTTTGGTAACAAACTATAAATTGGGTTCCATTCGCAAGGCGCTCCACTGTACGCAGCGCTTGTTGGTGCTGTCATGTAACGGTTAAATCTGCATGAAAAATTAATGCTGTGTTGTTGATACGACAAAGTGGAGAGAGCAGGTGGTCGCGGCACTGCGTATGTACATACATACGTACACATGTATGTATATCTGTGTCTGCGAGTTGGTTTGCACCCAGAGATTTACAGTTGCTTTGCGCACTTTGCGCACTTTGTTTACCTTGCATTTGATATTTTTTAAGACATCGATTTCGTGAGATTTTATTGGACTGTTAAGTTGACCATTACATTGGATTTATCTCTGTCTGGCTCCCTCACGCTTCATGGTGGAAACAATTGCGGGAGTAGTGGGTGAGTACGGGCGACACAATGGGATACAGTGAGCACTCAGTAGCTGGGACGCCATGGGGAATATGGAAAGTGGAACTGCCGCCGCTGCTGCGCCGACTGCGACGCCGACGGCGACTGCGACTGCAACTGCAACTGCGACAGCGGCTCGTCTGCGTCGCGTCGCTGCAGCAGCGCTGCCGCTGCGCGGTTAACCGTTTCGCGCCGAAATCCGAGCAGCGAGTTACCATTGCACGATTGCTGCTGCTGCGCTGCCACCGTCAGCCCAGATCGACGTGTTGTTGTTGCCGCTGCTGCTGTCGGCGTTTCCTCTCCCGCTCTCCGACCAGCTCCGCCAACTCCAACTCCAACTCCCCTTCCCCCTCCCCCAACTCCACCACCGCCAGAAATCGCAGCTCCATTCCCCCTTTTCGCTGTTGTTCTTCCCGTTGCCACTGCGGCAGCAGTCTGCTGCGCAGTCCGCTTCGCTGTTACGGACGCTGTTGCAGTTGCAGCTGTAAAGAGTTAACAGGATTTATTTGTACTAAAGCAAGAAATGTTAGAACCTTAACCCTTAAGAACTGCTTACCAGTCTTCAACTGTGATCTTTTCAATCCCTTCGTTTTCAGAACGAATCTATCGGATTCTGGTTTGGCTGTCAGTGATGATGAATGGGCTACAGCTCCCGCTTTGGTTACCAGCTGATCACCCAACACGGCTGCCCCCTTGCCACCCGAGCCGGCTGCACTGCGTCTGCCCGTCGGTCGAGCATTGCTGCGATTGGAGGTTGATTGTGGCGCGCCTTGGTGGCTCTGCAGCTTGGACGTTGGCTTGGAGCCCTCGATGGCCGATTGACTTGACGGTGATTCCTGCATATGCTGCGCCTGCTGATGGAGGATCTCCGCCTTGAGTATCTGCTGCTGGGTGCGGAAGGCACGCTTGTAGGACGAAACCTGCCAAGGATCATGGGATGTCTATAAGTTGGATGTGGGTGTTAACGTATGGACTACCTGCGAGGCACTCGCCACCAGCAGCTGATTGGCTCCCTTGAGTTGGGCTGCAGTCCTGTCCTCCCGCCTTAGATTTGCCTTCCTTTCCGGCTTCTTGTCCAGCCTTGGGTGCGTCAGCACGGCATCTTTGGCAGGCTGCAGGTAGGATCGATGGCTGGAGCGGCTCACCTGATTGCTGGTCACCTTGGTCACACGCGGCTTGTCCAGCGGACCCTCCAGCGGCAGCTTCATCTTGGCCTTGTCCTTGGCCAGATCCCTGGCCTCGAGGTGGCTGAGTGGCAGATCCACGCTGGTCGTTTCATCCACATTGGAGGAGATCTGCAGACTCTGCTGCTGCAACTGGACGCGACGCACAGGCGCCAAGGTGGCTCTACTGGGCTCATCTTGAACTGAAGCCGAAGCCGAGGTGGCTTGTGAAGTGTCATGGGAAGTGGAACCGGAATTGGCTCTACTGTGCTCCGAATTCACTGTTCTTGAATCGAAAGTATCGTCTTTAGTTTTCCCATCAATTGAGCGTAATTTTGTCCCAGATCCAGATGGGATTCCCCAATTTTGGCTACTGGCATTTGCGTTTCCCACCGAAGCTTTGTCTGATTTAGCTACATTCGATATGAAACCCGTTCCGCATGGACTACTTGTTCTGGGGTATTTGCGCCAATCTTCACCTGGATTAACATCCCAATCGCCCGATGTGTCTTCCGAACTCTTTGCATCGACCTCCGACCTTTTGCCCGATTCATCTGCATATACATACATTCATATTGGAATTAACAACAGAATATTTATATTATTACCTTCATATCTTCCCAAAGAATTATCCCAAGTGATTGTCGAGGCGCTGGGCCTGAAACTAGTCCGCGAACTGCTGTCCAGGCTAGATCCCCGAGGGGTTCCATCGAATCCCCGAGGACCGAGTGGAGTGGCGGGTCGCGCCATGGGTGCCATCGGCTGAACGGATCCGGACTCCAGGCTTCGGCTCCTCTGGCGATAGTTAGCGTGCAGGACATTGTGGAAGCTCAGCTGGCGCGGCTGTTGTCTCACCTGCGAGCGTCGCATGGTGGCGCTGGCTGTGGAGGCATTGGAGGCTTTGGTGGCATTGCTGGTGTTGTCAGTATTGGTTGGTCCTTCCGAGCTCTTCTCAATGCGGCTCCTTGGCGTATCACGGACACTGGTAATGATGGGTCTCTGCTGGCTCCGATTGAAGGCATAAGTGGCCACGGGTCCATCGGCAAACTGGATGTACTCGAACTGCTTGATGCGATCGCCCAAAGTCTGAAAGCGGAGGCGCATCTCCGACGGATGTCGTCCGTTTCTGGTGACGGTGCTGCCATTTTCGGTCGACACAGTGCCTAGTGGACCGAGACCAGGCCGCTTTCGCCCACCATCCAACTTGCTTAGCACCGAAATGCGACGCTTGAGGGCGGCATCCACCGGCATTAGGGGGTCGCCATCGGTCCGTGGCATTTGGATGCCCTGGGCCAGTGTGCTCTTCGCCATGGCCGCAATGTGGTGTTGCCTGCTCGGCGGCATCATCGCTACGGATCCCAAAACAGATGCGGATGGACGGGGTGGCATGCTCATGGATCGGCCGCTGAACATGCCCATGTCCATCAGATGGGACTCCTCTTTGGAGTCCATGCACTTGCGCATCGAACGGCTTTTGCGCTCCCGCTTCGCCTTGCTCTTGCGCAAGGATCCGACCAGGATCTCGGTGCGGGATGACTCACTACTGCGCCCGCTGGAGCAGCTCGAGCTGGCGACCCTTCGCACGGAATTCTGGCCGTAAACGGAGGCGTAAGGACGAGCCGCCGTAAAGGACATGGAACGCGAACGATTCGCCTGCATCATCGAGTACAGAAATTGGCCGGAGTTGCTGTTACTGGCCGCCGACGCCTGGTCCGCCTGCATGATGTGGCTGCGCGGATAGATATCGTTTGCACTGGGCTTCGCCTCCGCTCTCTTGATCCGGCGCAAGGGACCAACGTTCTCCGTCCGGAAACGCGGATGTCGATTGTCTGGAAAGTATTGTTAATATCTTCAAATGAATAGCATTCAAATCCTCTGCTTTCTTACTTAGGACGCCAAACTATCGCAAAGTGCCCGTTCATTTATAACTGTACTTACGTGAACTGCAGCCGCGCTCGTAATACGTTCTAACGGCACTTTCGTACAGCTCGCTGGTGTTGCGCAGAAACCAGGGCTGCATGCGGGTGTTCACTTTGATCAAACGGTTTATCTGGTCGGGCTTCATCGTAAGCGGAAGTGGCAATGCTCGAATTTGGCAGTGGTATTTGGCCCAGGTATTTGTGGCCTGTATCGATTGGCTTCGCTTCTATCTGTTGGCTTGAACTTGAACAATTTTGCTTTCCAAATGCACTGAATCGGGGAGAGTGTTTCAATTTTTATTTGCCTGCTTCTCAGACTGTTGACCACTGTGCAATTGCTTGGGAATTTAATGCTCTTAAAACGAATGTCTTGGGGCAAACGGGCGAAAAGTAATCGAAACGTAACTAACTGTGTTGTACTAAAACATGCCGGTGCGTGAAATTGGGTGTCTGTTTGTATTTTGAAAAAAGAAAACAAATCATACGCACGAAACTCAAGTAACGTTAATGTTAAAGCCGAGTAAAAAGAAATTCTATATTTATTTCGACGACATTCGATTTTGACACAACAATTGTGGTCTGCTCTGTTTATGTAATATACCCGTAAACGCAGTGTACCTAAATGCACTCAAAGTGTGAAATCAAACACCTTTGTTAGTTATTATGAAGTCTAATAGGCGAAAATCCAACGAATGGACACGAGCAGCCAGCTTAATTTAGCCCCGGAGTCTCCGAACGAAGCCCGTAACATAGTTTCAATCAAATTAGCCCACACCGGTCATACATAATGCACTCCTGCCCACTCATTCGTTAGTCAACGCTGCTAATCCGAGTCAACCATTCCAATCCGCCGAGCCCACTCCATGACCCCACGAAAAAGCAGCCATTTGACATTGATTTATCAGTGGCTGTCAAAGTGCCGTCATCCGCCACCCGGCTTAACCTCACCACCCACCACCCAGCCCACTTCCGAACCCACCCCAATACGCAATTTCCCAATTCGTCCACTGGAATTCCACTGGGCGTGGTCAAGGTAAAAATGTAATAATTAGCCGCAGAGATGTGATGATGTTCGGGGTCACCACTCCGCAACTCCCCTCGTTAGCCAGGGTATCGTATCTCTGCCCCATCGTGTTGCCTCGATTTTGAGCTTGGCCAGCAGCAATTTGTCAAAGTTTGGCCTGAAAAATGAATGCTGGTCGTTCGGTCGGCGCACTCGAAGAAATTACTTGGTCAAAGCCACTAAGAAATATCATAAAGCTTTCGGTGATTGGGCATTTCATGTTTGGAAAATTCAAGTACGTATATTTCTTACTAATTAGAGAGCCTAATATATTTTAGGAATTTTTTTCTAGTGATTTATAGCTAAATTTGTAAAGATTTGTGGCTATTAACACACATAATGTGCCTTCAGGTGCCCAGGTTTTTTGCGAGTGCCTCTCCACGTTCGGGAGGTGGAGTGGTGCCAGTGGTGCTAGTGGTTCGCCCAGTCGGGTGCGTGCACGGTGGTGGTGGGCAGGAGTCCGTCGGTTGACCAGGCCAGTCCATTGATTATGTTGTTTGCTTGTTTGTTATCGCCGTCCCACCGCATCGCCAATATCCCAACAGGGAAAAGTGCGCAGAATGCACAAAAATGAGGAGGAGCACATGGACAGTGGGAAACCAGAGCTGGAGAACCGGAGAACCGGAGACCCAGACCCGGATCCAAATCCGGAGCAGCTGCAACGGCTCCCTGGCTAAATGCATTCAGTGCGCACGAATGCAAAAATTGATTTTAATTCAATTACCGTGCGTAATTTATGCATTGCTAAAAGCGACCACAAAACCCGGTGAATCGGCCCTCTGGTATTTCGCCTATTTCTTTGTTTTTTCCGACTATTTCGGTGTTCATTTCCATTTTGTTGTTTCAGTTGCCAGGCTTATCCTTAAGGACCTTCGCAGGACATCTTTCAGCATGACATTTTGCGGTGCTAAGAAGGGGAAAGGAATGAATGTTATTTGATGACTTTAAGAATGCATAAATTATTTTTGCAGTGTTCACCAACTTACTTATGCCTCTGTGCGTTTTTTGTTCGAAATGTTTGCAAAAGTTTTGACTGACTTAAGTTAATTAATTGACGCATTGCAACGTTTTTCCACTTTCTTCGGTTTTTATTGCTTTGTTTTTTGCTTGCCACCTTTGACCTTACTAATTGCAGCTTAGACAAACACGCACACGCGGAAAGAAAGCAGAAGAAATGAAAGCAGTAAAAAATTCGAGTGCAAAACTTTCGCCAGCCGCACTTCCAGTTTGCCAGAGACCCAAAAATATGCTGAAAGCAAAGGGGGGACCCTTCTCTTTTGTCAGTTTTTGCCTTCTCTGTCTCTAAGCTGCCACATTAGCAAGTGAGGTGCAAAGTTTACGAGTGTCCTTTTTCACTTCTTCTCCTGCTCTTGTTCTTGTTCTTGTCCCTACTTTCAGGCGTCACTCTCATTCCGTCCTGCAAAGGCCACTCGAATACCCTGCATTTGCTTATCTCTCGCTTTTTGCATCTTTCTCCCAAAATGTAATTTGCAAATTCTTGATGTGAAGGGTTTGTTATAAGTGTGTTATTTTGCAATGGACTTACGTACTATATATGTATGTATGTACCTGTCGACGTAGCTGTTTTTCCAGGGTACTCTCCGCTTCCCCACCTTTTCACTCGAAGTCAGCTTTGCTTCAGTTAAGTCTGCTTATGTCTGCAGTTGGGTGGTCGTTGTTTCTTGGGTTTTTTTATGTTTATTGCTGTTGCCGCTGATGTTGTTTGTTATGATTTTGAGTGGATGCGATGATGGGAGCACATCCTGGCCCTCGTTTCCTTTGACAGGTGAAAGAGAGTGGCAAGTGCCTTCGGAAAAGGTGACATAAACAGGATGCGAATGGACCGATGTCCTCCCTGTGCAGTGGCCTCATTAAAATTGGCATTCATTGCATTTGGGCAATTAGACTAATTGACTTTTAACCAGTTCGCGGCACATGTGACCCAACCTAACCCCCGCCCTTTTTGCCCCACATTATGTATGCATTTTCCATGCGGCTTTGGGGGCTGTGAGCAGTTGCGTAATGGGGGCGTGGTCGGGCCATTTAGGTCGCAGGTGCCCAGTTTACGCAGCGCAAGAATGAAATATAAGAAATCGGCGTACTTAATCGTTAATCGATGGATACGTTAATCGATAACAGAGCTTATTGGGAATTGCTGAAGAATAGTTCAATTTGCTGCACAATTACTATGCGAAACAGCTCGATTAATAATTAGCATAATATTACTTATACTTATAATAGGTATGGCTTGGAATTGAATTGTTATTATTACAAAAATCAAGGAAACCCGCCACGAACAGTTTTAATTTTTTTTATGGTCATTTCACTTCCGTGAGTAATTCCTTATTAATTTGTCTAATGCAAGTCCAGCCATCCGTGTGGAAAAACTGTGAAAACTGTGAAAACTGTAAAAACTGTAAAAACTGTCCGGGGAAAGAGCAATCGATGGGATTACAGGAAAGTGAAAACTGTGATAAGGATCAATCAACTGAACCGTGCGGTCCACAAGCTCTATGGCAAGCCCACTCCCACCCGGCTGCTCCCGGCTCCTTAAGCTGGACGAGATTCTGGCCCAATCCCTGTCAAGGAACTGACAAAAGCGCCAGGGAGCGCGGCGAACAAAAAACCACACAGGAATGTGGAAAGCGCTGTGAAAAGCGAGGGCAAACCGAGGGGGAAAACTGGTGGAGCTGCTGCTGCTGCTGCTGCTGCTGCAACGCGGAATTGCTGCGAAATGGAGATGAATGATGTGCGGGGGATTTGGAAACAGTTGCCACATGGCGTTAGTCAAGCTCAGGGATGCAAGTCAAGTGCGCTTAGCACTGCACTCACTTTGGCCAAAGCGGGTGGAAAACCCTACGGCGTGGAAATGCCCGGGAAATGCCCGGGAAACGCCCGGCCCACAACACAGTCCATCTGGCCCCATCCACTGCGCAGCACTGCACTGCAGTCGCTCATTCATTCATTTGCCCAGTCAGGCATTCATTCATTTCCTTGATTATGTTTCTTATCAATGATAAATGAATATGAACGTAGCGAGCACTCAAAACTGCTGCAAACTTGGCTGGCAAAGTGAAAGTAAAACCAGCAGGGGATGCCTTGGCTTTTACCACAGATTGCCAACGGATTTAGTTGGGCTAAAGCGATTTGCCAGATCACCTTCTCAAACAAATGAACTATTTGCCCATTATCTTCACACCATAAATACTGAAGTTACATGTCAAACAGAAATATGTCCTAATTAATATGGTTCCCAATCAAAATGGGTAACTACGTTTCTGGGGAAATCAAAGAAACTTCCCAGCGAACTACTGCCTTTGAGGCACATTACACATTACACTTGTAAAATTTCGATATGCCACACCCAGAAAGCAGCACCTGCACATATTCCAAATCCCAGAGTTCGCTGAGGCGAAAGCCAAAAGGGAAAACGAGAGTCCGGGACCAAACGCAACCCAAATGCTCCTGATGCGGCTGCACTCCATTCCTCCAGCCAAAGGCACACAGCCCGAACCCAGTCCCAGTCCCAATCCCGGCCAGACTAGACCACCCAATCCCGATCACTTCGCACTGAAAGCGAGTGAGTGCGAATTCAGCACTTCGGATATTCTCAATAATTAGCTCTTGTGCATTGCCATTAAGTTTCGGATTGTGAAATTTGAGTAGCAAAATTATGATTTATATCAGCCACTTCCATTGCTGCCATAATTTTCTTGCAGTGCAGCACACATTCCGCCCGCCATCACTTGATTGCCGCAGCGACTTTGGAGCCCAAAGTTCTTTGTGGTCAGGCGGGCGATGGGTTAAGGGCGGCGGGCCAGCTGGGGGTTAGGGCGTGGCAAGGGGGCATGGCCAAAACTCAGCTAAAACGGGCCGGGGCGAGGGGTGGGCGGCATTTTTGGGCGGCCGATTCAAGTGCGCGCTCGGCAATTTCGCAGCACTTTAGAAATACAATTTTTAACAACTCGTCGAGGCGGCCGTTAAGTGCGCCGCCGTTTAAACTCCCCAAAGGCGGCAAAAAAATAAAATAATAATAATAGCCACGTGGGGCAAAGCGGTCCGCAGGTGCGCTTACACTGAGAAATAGTCTGTAAGCAGGCTAAATAATAAATACATTTTCACTTGAATGCGCCTAAGGAAATTCAAGTTGCACTTAAGTGCGTTCTAAACATACAAGACTCAAATGTGAAGTTATTGCATTGCTTATAATGTTGCTAATAGGTGTGTAATATATGCTATCATTTTAATTGGTTCTTCAATATTATCTTTGCACATGCAAATACAGCTTGTGCCAGTGCAACACTGAGGTCAACTTTCGGCCGCCTTCCCTGACCTTCTGCCAGCTCCAATCCCGCTCAGCGCTAAACTTTGGCCATGCAGCTAAAATATGCAGAAAGGAGCAGCGGCGGCATCCTCATCATCGCCATCAGCATCGCCATCTTTATCCAGGAGAACGATGATGAGTAGCAGGAGGAGGAGGAGGAGGAGGAGCAGGAGGAGGAGAAGCAGGAGGAGGAGAAGGAGGA